TTGGGAGCTGGCAAAGGTTCTGGCACATGACCCAGATCCCTCAGCAGAATGGTTTAGAGCTCCTAAGTGTGCTCTGAACTAATTATTCGCTGTCAGCTTGCAGGACAGCTGCACCCATTTGGATCTGGCTCCAGGGGTTTTGGATCTGGGAGAAGGGCTGGTGGGGAGGTATAGTGGACCCAGCAAGATGGCAGGCAGCTTTTCCACCTCCTTTACTCACCAAACACTGCTTGGGAAACACACAGGTGGAGGAGGCTGCTCAGCATCGGTATGTCCACATGCTCCAGGCTTGGAATCTGTTCCATTACTGTCTCCACAGCACCAGGATGGCCCTTCCAGCATCTCCCCTGGAAACTATGAGACACACTGTGACACATTGCAGGGTGGCCCCAGCAAGGTGTCCCAGGTCACCCAGGACATGGCAGTGAGGATGGTGCACATGACTCAGTTCCTGAGGAAGAAGGGCCCCATTCTGGTATGCAGTTTCACCCCCTCCACTTTTCCCTCAGGATTATGGCAGGGCTGGCAGCTCCATCCCAAATCCCTGTGTCACCCCACTCTTGGGAGAGTGGCTCCAGCTCTTATTTATGCAAAACACTCAAAATTCCTTCCTCCTGATGAGATGTCAGCTTGGCATCCCATCATTTCCTTATTTCAGGATTCACCTGGGCCTCCTGGACCCTCCTCTGTCCTGCTGGAGAAGCTCCTCTCCCCAATCCCATTGTTTTTTTTATCCTATTTTAGAGCAAGGAACAGTTTGTTGCCTGTGCCAGGCAAATGGCTTTTGATGGGCAAGTGGTTGTTAAATTTGGGCACATCCTTGCCAAGCAGTGCCTGGACCAGAGATGCTCCATGGAGCTGCTCCGTGCTGCTGAGCACACCCACACCATCAGCAGTCAGCTCAGCATCGTGGCCAGGTGAGCTGCAGGGCTCAGGAATGACCTCTCCAAGGTTATCTCAAGAGCCCTGCAGGGTGGGATCCCTTCTCCAAGGGATGGTGCTCCCCAAAGATCCTTGTGGAAGGTGGGAGTTGCCCAAAGAGTTCAGGTATGATTTAGAGGGCTCCCTCTCCTCTCCTGGTTTCCCTGCTGGGGACAAGCTGGGTTTGGAGTAACTACGCTGTCAGGATGGGTTTGGAGTAACCACAGGGTCAGGATGTCCAATGTCCTTCCCAGTAAAATCCTTAAAAATGCCTTTTTTTAAGGGTGAAAGCAGTGACTGGGGAGAGCAAGGCCTCCTCTGAGCTGCTCCTGAGTAACGCCCAGAACCTCGTCCGAGCGGTGTGGCAAGTCCTGAGGGCGGCTGAGGCGGCGTGTGTCAAAGTGAGTCCATCAGGGAATCATGGAATGCTTTGGGTGGGATCATCCAGTTCCAGCACCTTGCACTAGCCCAGACTGCTCCCAGCCCCATCCAACCTGGCCTTGAACACTTCCAGGGATGGGGCAGCCACAGCTGCTCTGGGCAACCTGTGCCAGTGCCTCACCACCCTCACAGGGAAGAATCCCTTTCTAAGAGGCTGATGGAGTCCATGCTCTGGGGAGCTCTTCATCCAGGTCTGGCTATGAGAGGTTGGATCCGGATGCTGTGGGACTCCTGCTGGAGCAAACATTCCTCCTGGGATGTTTTTTTTACCAACTTCACCTGCTACCAACTCTGGTGTCAACTTTAGCTGGTCCATTTCCCATTTAATTTTTTGGATTGGAAAGCAGCACCTTTATCTGGAAATAGTCCATGCCAGCCCCCTTTATTCCCAAATCCAAACTTCCAAAAGCTTTCCGTGCAGCTGCCATCAGTAGCTAATTGATCCCACTGTAAATACTCTGTGAGAGCAGATTTTACCTGAAAACACCTGGAAAACGGGCACAAACACTGCCAGTGTCTCCCCTGAGGCAGCATTTCCACATGAGCCCCATTCTCTATAATCCCACGACTTTTTCTGGGATCAGCATGTCTTTTTGCAGGAAACACAGGATTTTAGAATCCCATTTGCTCAACAATCAGCCCCCCCCAGAAGTGACAAAGCTCCACCCGTGGCTAATTAATTGCCCAAGCTTAAAAACTTCCCCTATTCCTCCGCATCCAGCCTGGATGGATGAATTAAATCGTATTGATTGTCTGGATTCCAAAGTCCCTTATGAGCTGGAAATTTCCCCACTTATCATTAAACTGTGCACTCCTTTTCTCTCCTCACAAGCAGCTATTTTAAGCATTTTTAAGCACTAAGAGGCAGCCATGCCTTGTGAGTCACACACACATAGGGACATCCAGACTTTTCTATTCTTTGGGATGTACAGGGATATATTAAAGAAATATTTTGTCCAATAGGGTTTGGGACAACCCTCAGCTGACCCTGAAGAACAAGAAGTTGCTGCTTTCTGCCTGCAGTGGAGGAAGAATCTGTTGTGGCATAGAGCCAAGGAGGCTTTAATCTCCGACAGGGATGAGTTAGGGCTCCGAAGGACTCGGGGGGCAAAGGCTGAGCCCACCTTGATGGCTCTGGTCCAAGAAGCCCCTGAGAGCAGGAATATCCCAAAGCATCCCAATCCTAGGAAAGGACACACAGCTATGCACAGACACCTCTAAAACCAGGAAGGCCACCTCATCCCAATGGCATTGGAAGCTGAGGAGGATGAAGGATTCATGTTGGGAGTATTTTCATTATGAGAGAAAAACCTTGGAAGAGGCTCCATGGGGACGCTACAAATATTCCAGTGAGTGTTTTACCCACAGGGCAGCAAACACCAGGTGGTGAGCCAGGCTGGATGGGGCTTGGAGCAACTTGGGCTAGTGGCGGGGGGTGGAATTGGTGTATCCCTTGACATGTCCAGGGATACAGTAGTGGGGAACATTTTGTCTCACCTGCTGGCCCTGATCCTGCAGATTCCTCCCAAAATCCCACTCAGCCCCTGGATTCTCTCCTACCCAGACATTCAGTAGTAACCATCACCCACCTCACAGCTTCCAGAGTATCCAGGACTGGTCTTATTTTCTGTTTCCATTACTGCTCTCCACATCTATCCTCAGGGCCATGAGTTGTAGGTGTCCCAACGGAAATGCTGCACTTGAGGAGAGATGGTAACGAGCCTACCCCGCGGAATACACAATCCAACGGCACAGCAGGTCAGCACTGGCTCAGTGGTGGCTGCAGCCCATTCCAGCCCAGCTCAGTGTTCCCACCTGTCCCCAAGCACATTCCCTGTACCAGATATTGGAATGTCCTTTGTGTTCCAAAGGACAGAAATGAAGGAAAAAGGCAGTTACACATGGAGACAACAGGCTGTGAGGACTTGCTGGTCTTTGTATCCATGTCCTGTTTCCACACTATTTTTCCCTGGTTTTTTGAGGAAAACCTTGACCAGCCACATCATCACTAAATCACAAAGTAATTACAAGGGACTAATGGATTACTCCAAAATAAAAGCGAAGTTCCATGTCAGTTATCTGGTTTTGCCATTCAAAATATCCTAAAATTAATGGAATTTATGCTTTGGGAATTAGGAAGGGAAATTGAAACCCCTATTACCTTCAGAGATGTCTCCTCCGCCATGCAGAAATCACCAGCTTCCCTTGGCTCATCCACACAAGATACCAAAACCTCAAAATTTGGGATAAACACTCTGTTGCCCCAGTGGAAGCATCACTGGGCTAACAAAGCAAGAGGAGAAAGTCCATGACCATCATTTGAACCACAACTGAACCAAGAGGAAAAGGTCTGTGACCATCACTTGGCCAACAAAACCAAGAGGAAAAGGTCTATGACCTTCATTTGGGCCAACAAACAAACCAAGAGGAAAAGGCCCACCAAGGAAGAGACTTACAGCAAAAACTATCCAGAGGGGCCGGAAGCAGGTGGCGATTGAGCACCAGCAAGTTTTATTGGAAAGGCAGCTGGAATGCCTACATTTCCTCTGGGAAAAAAATCAACCCAAAAGGCAAGACAAGAGACTCAGAGGACAGCCATCCTCTGGGCATGCAACACGGTCAGAAATGAAAGCCATGCAGGACGCTGTGGTGGAAATGGCGAGCATCTCCAAGAGACACCTCAGAACCAGGTCCAAGTGTGTTAAAACTCACGCCCCAAAGAGCGTGGTGGGCAGTGCGGCAAGCCCAGCTGTCGGCATGTCCCACACACAGTCATCACCAGCAGGTAACTGTACCCTTTTTAATTGTTTTGTTAAAAATGTCCTGGAGACACCATGAATACAAGTACTGCAGTTACAGCGATACAAAAAAAGCAATACAAATTAAGCAGCTGAATACAAAAATACATTGAAATACATGAACACCACAATGGAACTCAGAGCACTAATCCCAATCCAAGGTGTGAAAAAAAAATTAAATAAAACCCTTTTTTCCCCCCTTTTTTAGCTCCACTTTGACCAGTTTTCTAGTTATGTACTTCACAATTTCTTCTATATACAGCATAGAATAAAATACTTTGAAAAGATATGACATTTTTCATCCTCAATATGTGATATAAGTCTCTTTTACACTAATATTGACTGCAGGAGTAAGAACTGTCCGTGTCTTCCATCAACTCATTGGGAATGAGGAGTGATGTCTACCTCCCAACTTGTCCATCAGGTTTGGCAGTCCTTGACATCTCTCCCAAGAATTCATGTCCATAATATTGCTTGGATCTATACAAATGGGATCTAAAGAGTGGGGAGGAAGGAGACAGCTCACACATATACAGCTCTGGGGACTTTCTTTATGACTTATTTACAATGAAAGTGCTTTTCTCAGCTCTAACATGATCCAGAGAGGATTTGCTTTAACAGGTCAATGATGAATCTCCCTGAAATTGGAAAAAAGGAGGATTCTCTTCTAGAAAATCCCACAGCTTTGCAAACACTAGAGCATACTGTACTGTGTGGTTCAGAGATTAGCAGCTGAAAAGTGTGGAGAATTATAATTTACAAATAAATAAAGCCCAAAGAGGTACAAAACAGCAGAGAACTGCAGGATCCACCACGGGAAAAACACCTCGGAGCAATCTGCTAACAAAATGGGGAAGCAGTTGGATCAAAAGTCTTGAAAACATCTTTGAGGGATTTATCATCCGACTCCCCGTTGGGATCGGGATCCGGCGCTGGTGGAACCTGTCCGGGCTGCCTCACCTGCCTGGGATCGCTGTACTGTGGCCGGATTAATCCCGACAAAGCCTGGATCGGGAGGTTATGCACCGCCGGAGCAGCACTGGAGTGTTTAGCCTGAGATTTACTGGTGCTGTTGGCTTTGTCTGAAGCAGCTTCTGCTGAGCCTTCCGTGGGTTTTTCCACACTGGAGGCAGCCTTCTGCAGGGATGCATCCTCCGGGATGCCAGGCTCGTTTTTCCCCGAATTTTTCAAGATACTTTTTTTCTGGTTCTCTCCATTCTCTCCCGAACTAGCTGGAGCTGTGTCCGAGGATGAGCTGTGATCTCTGGGATCATACAGACTAATCCCACTCAGGATGGAGCCAGGAGTTCCCAGCCTGACACCGCTCGACGATAGCTTGGGCGCATAGGGAGGCAAAGCATCAGGATCGGCTTTGGGAGTCGCAGCTTCCGAGGGCTGGGATGAGCTGGCGGCAGCTCTGGCGAGGCGTGGGTCAAACTTAGAAGGGTGGGAATCCTTCCCAACTCCATGGTCTGTGCTCGACAGTCTGTGGAGTCTGGGATCCACGTTTTTTTGCAAGCGGGGATCCCCCAGTTTGCTGGAGCTACTGGTGTGGGAATCTGTGGATGGATCCAAGTAGCTGCTCCGGGCTGTGAGGCTGTTTTTGGCCTTGGCAGCGAGCCGGGGGTCAGCTGGCACCGTGCTCGGATGTGCATCACCCTTCAGATTCCGCAGTTTATTCAGTCTCTGGTCAGCAATGAGAGGGGGAAGAGGTAAATTGATGGAAGAAACGGGATCAGGCTTAGGCAAAGGGATTGGTAGCAAGTCCTCAGGAGCCCAGACAATGTGCTTGGCAAAGTTGGGTTTCATCAGGGTTACATCCATCTTGATGTGGCTGAACTGCCGAAGCTGGGATCGGGGATCCCTTAACGTGACACCAGGCAGAGGTTCCAAGGGAATGAGGAAAGCTCGTTCCCTCAGTTCCCTTTCCGAGTCCTCCTCATCATCATCCATCCCTTTCTGCTTGACTTTAACTCCAGTGTGCACGTGATGGATATCCAGCTTGGAGCTGGCATGGCCTCCCTCGCTCACCTTGTGCATCCGCGGATCCCGCGCCAGCCGCGGGTCCAAGGATGCCGACTCGGAAGGCTTCCTGGGATTGGGCCTTGGAGAAGCCCTAAGTCTCGGGTCAGCAGCCTGAGGCCCCACACCTTTGTCTTTGGCCAGCCTGGGATCTGTAGGAATTCCAAGCATGTGCTGCTCCGTGGAATGTTGTTGCCGATTCCTGAAGTTTTCGCTTTGTTTCTTTAAGGTTTTGAGTATTGATTTAACACTGCTTCCCTCCTCCTCCTCACTGCTGGAATACCAATTCACATTGTCATCTAAAAAGAGAAGAAATTCCAAAAAATGAGATTATTCCAGCACATAATCCCCCGGGAACACAACACACTCAATGGGCAGTTCCCAGTAAAATCAAACTGAAAAGATGTGATATTAAAATCTCACTCCCTGTGTTATAATCCAAATCCCAAGGTTTGGCAAAAAGGTTGAGATTCAGGAAGGGAAGAAATGAGGGTATCTCACTTTAAAGGGTATCACAGTGGGAAAAATTCTGCTCTAGGGAAAAAAAAGGTCAACGGAGTAACAAGGATCTGGGATGCACTTCCAGTCCAGGCAGCCAGAAATAACCCTTCTGGAATCAAGGAATTTCAACAGGAATTATCAACCACAGAACCCTTTAAAAGTGCAAACTAGATGCAAAAATTATCCCAATAACTGTGAATGGCGATGTGATGCAAATCAACACTAATGGATCTGCTCCAGGCTAAGTCACAGCCAAAGAATATGTTGAGAATTCCAAGAAACTCCTCCTCACCTTCATCTTTGCTCATGGCCCTCTGGCCTTGGCTACTGACGGCATCTCCATCTCGCTGATGCTTTTGGCTAAGCCTCACATAAAGGGCTTTCTGCATGGCTGGGAGGAAATCTGGAACATTAATGGCCTGTTTGTGGCCCATGTGGCCACTCAGGCATTCCGACTCGCTCCCGCCTTGGTGTGACTCCTGAGCCATCAGGTGAGCCTGGTGGTCTGGGAATTCTCCGTGCCATGTTCCATCTGCAGGAAAACAAAACCCCAGTTAGAACTGTGAAACAGTGAATCACAGAATGGGTTGGCTGGGGAGGGAGCCTACAGCTCATCCAGTTCTAATGCCCTGCCATGGTCAAGGACACCTTCCACTAGACCAGGTTGCTCCAAGCCCCATCCAACCTGGCCTTGAACACTTCTACAGACGGGGCAGACACAGCTTCTCTGGACTTGTGCCAGTGCCTCACCACTCTCACAGGGAAGAATTCCTCCCGAATATCCAATCCATACCTAAAGCAAAACATGACTCACACAACTGGAAAGCACCAAAAAAGACAATACATTGAAGCCGTTTCAGGAAGTTTCTCTCCAAAATTCTCCCAGCAAATGTCCTTACCTCCAGAGTTATTTGCTGGCTGGAAGTTGTGCACAGCTTGGTGGGAATAATAGTTGTCATAGAAGTCAGCTGGGTTCTGCATGGGCTCATAGTTCATGTTGGGCTGCCTGTCCCCAGGCATCTGCTGGTACTGTGGCCCTGGGGGACAATGGTTGTCCCTTGGCATGTTCACCATGTGTCCCTGTACTCCGGGGGCATTGTAGGACCCCCCAAGCCCTGGTGGGGTGAGGGGTGGCCCTCCCTGCTGCCCCTGCATGGGCATTCCAGTCTGGTTCTGTGGACCCATGTATCCTGGGGGAACTCCCTGCATGGGAGGGCTCTGCGGCATTCCCGGCCCCTGAGGCCCTCCGCATGGATGATGGCCAGGAGAGCCAGGATGCATTGGAGGGCCATTGTGTCCTTGGGCCATGCCAGGGCCTGGCCCTGGGCTGGAGCCTGGATTGTACATGTGCTGGGAGTGGGGGTCATTGCCCTGGAACGGTGGCCGTGGGGGTGATGAGCTGTTGTAGAATGTTGGTGGCCTGGAAAGAAGAGAAAATTAAGGGATCAAATTTGGTACCTACAAAGACCAACCCCCTCCCCACTCTACTTGTGCTTATTTGACTTCAAGTTGGATAAAAAACCCAAAGAGGCAGAGTTATTTTCCAGAAGAGTAACTACATACATTCCATATAGAATCAATGCGGTTGGAAAAGATCTCCAAGATCACTGAGCCCAACCTGTCACCCATCACCACCATCTCAACTAGACCAGAGCACTCGCTGCCACATCCAGTAGTTCCCTGAACACCTCCAGGGATGGTGATGCCACTACCTCCCTGGGCAGCCTGTTTCTACACTTAACAACCTTCTCCATGAAGAAATTCCCCCTAATGTCCAACCTGAACATCCCCTTGACACCACATCCTCTCCTGAATGTCGTAACACATGACAGAGTATGGCCAGAAGCACATTTTTTCCGTATCAGCACATCTCCATCAGCTTTGCCCAAGACAAAGCCAACTATCAATCTTGGAGCAGGGAATGACATTTGCTCAACCTGCAGGTAGAGATGCCAAACCAAGAGCCAACAGAGCAACCTGGAAGGTCAAGGCTGAGTTCCTTTCTATGGAAATCATTACATAAGTAATTCACAACTATATGATAGCAAATATCTGGCAGATCCTAACTTAAGAGATACTTGTGCTTCTACCCAGAATTCCAACACCTACTTCTTCCCAATTTTGTGTGCCAAATCCACGGTGGGTTTCACAACTATTTCAAACAGAGATGGAATCTTCTTATAATCTCCTGAAGGATCTTGATAACCTTCCATGTCAGACTCAGAGAAGGGATATTGCTCTGGAGGGGTTGGCAGGAGTCCGACGCCGGGCGGGGGCTTTGGAAGAGGGACGATACCGCGCTTCCGGAGCTCCTCTAGCTCCTTCTCATCCTCATTCTGGGGCTCCTCCTCATTATTCAACACCTAGGACACAGCCATGTAGGAAATATTCCGTCAGGTTTGCAGTACTGAAGTTCCATTTAGTCTTGTACCTTCCACTGAGCTCCTACAACACTACGGACATCAACATCAGATACTGACATTGGACACTGACATCAGACATTTCAACTCAGAGGAATTACAAACCCCTTATTTTGGGATTTGATGTGCTGATTCCCAGACAGGAAGAAAACAACTTCTGTAGTCAGGAAGGGACAATTTCCCATCAATTGTGGGAAGTTCAAACAGCAGTTTCAAGTGAGACAAGTGCAAGGAGTTATTCTAAGATTCCTAATGTTTTCAGGCTTGGATTCACATTCCTTAAGGCCTGCTGAAGAGGGACACAAATATCCTGCTTAAACCAGAGCTCAGGATTTCACAACACACTTGGCAGAGGCACCTCAGTCCTTCTCCACCAATGCCACTGTATGGATCACTCACCTTATCCAAGAGTTCCTTAGTTTCTGCAGTCAGAGGAGCATGAGAGAACTTGCACTTATCTCCTTGATAGCATTTTGCTCCTGTGTGGTAGAATTTGCAAGGGAATTCATGTAAGCAATGAATTAAGGATTCCTAACAGGTCCAGTTTGGGAAGCTTATAAAATCCATCCTTCATCCTTTACCAGCAATTCACTTTCCCAATGTCATGTGTTAAGAATTTCAGAAGCTAATACCCAACTTAACTCTTACTCTTTTTTTTTTCCACTTAAAATTCTCCTAATTATTCCATTTATTCAGATTTTAATCTGTGGCCTTAATTTTAGAATTGGGATTCAAAAGGTGAAGGTCTCAATTCCAAACGAAAACACAAGGACAACAGGAACATATCAGGGGATTAAAATATGTGGATAAATTTATCTAAACTTCAAGTGGCTTTCCCTTTGAAAACCTGACAATAAAATTAATTTTATCCTTATTTTTTCCTCTTAATTGTTGAGCAAAAAATAATCCTGTAATAAATCTTTGCCAGAGTCTCTTCAGGAAGGAATAGACACCCTTAAAATTCACTTCTAGCACAAGAAATATAAAGAAATGCACAGAAATGTAAACTTTCAGTTGAGTTACAGTATTTTTTCAAGGATATTGTGCAAATAAATGCAGTTCTCTCCTTTGGTGCAGTAACCCTGGATGTAGAACTTGCAGATTTCCTTTTTCTTTTCAATCTCTGCATCATGATCAAATTTACACTGTTCTCCCTGGAAATTAATAAATAACAAGGAAAAACCATTATCCATCTGGAATGCTGAGTAATTTCATTTTGTGCTGAAAGAAAAACATCCTCCTTAGCCAAACTTATACCTTTCAGCTTGACTAACACTGAATTGTGTTATAAATATATCCCTAAAAACTGTGGATGGTCTGGACACAGAAAAAACAATTCCTGAATCAGGATTCCAAGGAATATACACAGTACTGACAGAACACAAGCTGCTCTGACAGTCCCTGTTCTCTTCCCTTCTCTGCCTCCACCTCATAATTTGCATTAAAAAGGCATTTAAACAAGTATTTTACTGGATTCTTTTCCATCCGTCCTGTTATCCATTAGGGTAATTTTGCTGGACATGGTTTTGTTATTTTTTAGTATTTACTTCTGTAAGAAAGACACCAAGTGCTCTCTGAGCCTCTTTTAAAACTGAAGGTGGCAGCATATACTCATCTTATGAGCCAAAAATATTTCAAGGCAGCAACAAACACAACATTCCCAATAATTCTCAGCTTTACTTGGACCACTGGAGAAGGAAACAGAAGAAACCTCTGAATGCCCAGAGGAACCAAACATAAGTGAGTCCCAGGAGAAGATTCAGTGTTCTAAGTGTTTTCTATGCTTGAGGAAAACCAGGATTAAAAAGAGCCAAGAGGGTATGTCCTCTGCAGCAGGCACAGAACTTACCTTGATACACCTCCCTTCCAGGAAATATTTACAGATCTGTTTGCCTTTGTGCTCCACTGTGTGCTGATTGATGAACTCCTGACTCATGTTGACCCATTTCTTCACAGGTTTGCCATCCTGGAAGGAAAAAAAGGGAACATTTTACTGATTATGATGGAAGCTGCAAAAAGATTAGGTCAGATTTGGTGCACTAGTCTGGAATAACTCCATTAAGTACCTCATGAAATCCATCAGATCCCTTATTGCCTCCTCTGCCCCTTCCACGATCTTTCCGCTTCAACTTCTTCTGCATTCCACGTCCTCTGCCAACATTGTAGTTGTTCCCTCTTTGAGAAATGCCTGGAAAACAGGAATGACACCCTTAAAGCACCTCAGAAATCAAGGGAAAATGGTTCTTTAGGGACATCAAACTGAAAAAATTCAGAATTTCCCTTTTTGCAGTGGGAAATGTTATTTCTAAGCAGCCCAAATCCCTGGTGCCAGGAAAGGCTCCACTTCCCTCATCCAGGACTCAGGAAAAACATCCCAAAATGATGCACAACGTAACTGCTGTCACCAGAATCCTCTTACCTTTCTGGATGCCTTTCATGCCCTGCTTTTTCAGGGGTTCCTTTGAGAATGGAGGTCCCAAATCTCCACTGGAGGTTTCTTTAGCCTGTCTGTACTGTTTGAGCTGGTCAGCAAAATCCTCATCCTTGTCTTCCTCGTTGTAATTCCCAAAGTTTTCATCACTGTAATGGCTGTAGTCATCATACTCCTTACTTTTGACATTTTTTTTATGCTGCATTTTCTGGGAACTCATGTAATTCCCTGACACATGGCCATGCTGTGGGAAAGAGGGCATTAGGAAGCAACTCCGTATTTCCAAACCTCCTATTCCAAACTGCTCTAAAAATTCCATTTTTTGGCTGTTTTATTACCAGATTTGTCCAAACAAGCACCAATAATATAGGGAAAAGCAGTTAATCATGGAAAATTACTATTTTGGATTCACAGGCTGAGAAAAAACAGGGAAAATTGAGCTCTTGGAAAGAGGAATCAAGTTTAGAGATTTCAAGTGGCTCTTCGAGAGGTGTTTCCTCTCAGTCTGGTCTCAATCCAGTGCAGGTAGGAATAAAGTCAGGAACAAATGGCATCAGGCACTTAATTCCTGCCACAGATCCTGCTTTTCGCCTGGGAATCTACAACCAGGGAAATGAGAAATAGATGTGCTTCCAAAATCTAGGAGAATAAGCACTGGGATGGAGCCAGACTTCTAAACATACATTGTTTACATCTGATTTTAAAATTCGCTCACTAAATTCCGAGAAACCAGTTTAAAACTTCCCACCTGACTGAAAGAGGAATCATAATCCCTGTAGGAAGAGCTGCTGCTCTTTTTGTGTGGCCTTTCCGAGCGCTCCAGGTCGGAGTCATGGCTGTAGTCAGAGCTGTCATCACTGGAAGGGGAATTATGCTGGGGAGAAAAAAAAACGGAAAACAGCTGTGGAACTGCAGGGAATTTTGAGGGAATGAGATGGGAAAACTCTATTTTGGAAAAGGACCATCAGTTTCATGTTTTAGCATGAAGTTTTATTCATTTAAGTGGATTAAAATCTCCGTTACATGCATTATCTCCATGAGTTTTCCTGAAGAATTCACTTTTCATCCCAGAAATAATTAGCACAAGAAGTGAAATTACAAATTGACATTTTTGTTTCTTGTCCTAAAAACTGTCAAATCTGTATGAAGCAGCTTCCATGACTCTTTGAAGATTCAAAACCACTTAAAGAAGTCTTAAGTGTAATAAACCATTTTAGTTTCCTTTTCCAGTTTTCTCCTTCTCCAATTCATGGATTCTTATCTACACCCTGCAAATCCCATCAGCACCTCCAATATTTTGCTTGGCACTTCCTAACCTTGTGCTTGTCCCGTCTTCTCCTCTTGGATTTTTTCTTTTCCTTCTCTTTTTTGCGTTTTTTCCTGGATTTCCTGTGTCCTTTCTCATTCTTCTGCTTGTCATCCCCTTTTGAGCCATGTTCCTTCACATCCTCATAGGCTGCATCATCTATTTCCCCATCTTCCAGCTCTCCATCTTCTCTGTAGGAGTAAAAACAGCAGGACAATAAAATTCCACGTTATTTTCCAGCTCATCCAGCACTAGAAAATAAGTGATTAACAAGTCAGAAGCAACCCCAAGCTGTGATTTTTGGGAGATATGGATATGCCAGGGAGAAGACATGACTGCTGGATGACCTATGGCCTGGAATTTCTTAGAATTGCATTAATAAAGAGAAATTGGAACATAAATATTCCTGAAACGCATTTTGCCAGCATCAGCACAACTCATTCCCTCCAGGATATCCACTCCAAATACCCTAAGTAAAATGCCTACTGCAAATGGAACAAGGTAGTTCCCAATTCCCAGTTCCTTTGGGAACTGCAGGCATAGATTTCCACTTCTAGGACACATATAGGACGGGATTAACTTTCCAGGTAAAACAAGCTCAGTAACACAATCCTTGAGATTGCATTGCCAAGGTAAGATTAATTACAATTAGGTCTACAATTAAACTCAATTAACATCAGTCTTCCAAGCCCCAAATGCGTAAATTCTTTACATAACATCCTAGCATTTTTCGTAATATCCTAACATTTTCCAAGTATTGACTGTAAAAAAATCAAAAACATAGACTGGAGAAATAGGAAGAGATAATGGTCAAAATGCCTCACTTCTTGGGAATTAAATTATTCCTCATAAAAGTGATAAGGCAGAAACTATGTTGTGGTTTAAAGGATTGTTATTCCCGGTCCAATCCCAAACTGGAGCTGTGCACTAGGAAAAAGGAGTGCAGAATCTCGCCCTTTGTTCCCTTCCTCTTCAACAATCTGGACACTGGATATGTGAAAACAAACCCAGACAACATTCCCACTGCTCTGAGAGTATTCCTAAAGCATCTCCAAATGGGATTAGAACAGCACAAATTATCTTCCAGGGAGCTTCAGCTTGGTGAAATCACTACAGAAGTATTTGAGTAGAGAATTAAAACTCCTCATCCCAAGAAACAGCGTAATTCCAGGGTTTGGTTTCCCTTCCAACCTCCACACCTGGTGTTTAACTCCTTCCCTGGCCTTAATTCAGATCAAGTTTAAGAATAGAATCCTTTGTGCACAAAGCAGATTTCCACCTCAAGCTCCTTAAGTCCAGAATCCAAACCCAATGGAATGGGTTTATGGGAATCTCTAGCCCCAGCCACTGTTTATTTGAGGTCTGACTCAGGGATGAGCAAACGTCTCATTTTAAAATAATTATCATTTGTTTTACAATTAATTATATAATTATATAAGCGCAGGAGAGTTTCAACTACCAAAGTGTTTGTGACACTGAGACAAAATCTTCCACCCCAATGCTCTCAGCAAGTTTAAAAAGTGATGAAGAGCTCAATAATGAAGATAATAATCACTTTGAGAATGAAATATGAAAATATTTATCTAAAATAAGACCTTAAAGGGTTAAAATCCATGCAATTAATTGATACTACTGTGCTACTAGGCTGGAGAATTTAGGAATTAATAAGGAAATTAACTACAAAACTGGGAAGCAATTTTGCAAATAACAAATAACTACAAAAAAATTAAAAGCCTTCCTGGCTTGATCAGGTGCTGAGAAAACAAAGGCTCTGGATTAAAATGACCTTCCAGTTTGGAATGTTCAAAGTGTGGACACACAGGAGTTTTTACTCTTTTCTCCTGCTCAAAAGCACTAACAAAAACAAAGGCTCTGGATTAAAACAGGATTAAAATAACCTTTCAGTTTGGAATATTCAAAGTGTGGTCAGACAAGGGACTTGTACTATTGCTCAAAAACACTAACAAAAACTAAGACTCTGGATTAAACCAACATTTCAACTTGGGATATTTGAAGTATGGACACACAAGGGGGTTTTACTCTTTTCTACTAAGCAATTTATTGGTAATTCCACAGATCAGCTCCAACCAAACTAAATGTTGCCAGAAATGCCATGAACTTCTGCTGCAGAAATGGATGGAATCTGTGCAATTTCCATTTCCAGCAGGTTCCCACTGTGGGTCTTCCCTGCAGGGGCCTGGTCTTACTGGTGCTGCACTTGCACACCTGATGTAACCTCAAAACTTGCAGTTGGGGATTATTTTATGTGAATTAAACCATATCTTACAAGTTTTAAGTCTTGTTTACACACAATGTGATCTCAGGGGTCAATGTGTCTGTTTACTCTTCTGAAATGAAAACACTGTCAAGCAATGCTGAGAAATTAGAAGCAATTAGCCTATAAAGTAGTAATTACTGGTTCTGTTGCACAATTCCCAGTGTCACAACTGGCTGTACTGGTGAGGTACATGATGAGGAGCCCGCCACCTGGAAAAACTCTGCTCCCAGCAGAACTTGAGAGTCACTTGGGCTTGTCCTCACCAAAAAACACCAAGTATTTTCAGTCCCTCAGACAGCAAAAAGCCACAGCCTGACTTCAGGAACTCTGCCCCTGCTCCAGCAATCCCACAGGATTCCTGGTTTGCTTTGGGCACAGAGCATGACACCGCCAGATAAGCAGGAGGTGAACACAGGCACCAGCAGCGCTGGGGTATGTCCTGACCCTCACTAGATCCCAGGACCATTTTGGGATCACTTCCCAATTCCCAAGGACAAGCAGGAGGCGGAAACAAGAACCAGCAACTCCAGGCTCTGCCTTGACCCTCTCACTATATCCCAGGACCATTTTGGGACCAACTCCCCATTTCCAACAAGCAGAAATGTGAACACAAGCACCAGCAGCTCTGGGGTATGTCCTGAACTGCTCACTAATCCCAGACCATTTGGGGATCAATTCCTAATCCAAACAATGAGCAGGAAGCTGAAAGCAAGGACCAGCAGCTCTGGGGTCTGCCTCGACCCTTTCACTATATCCCAAGAGCAGTTCCCAATCCCAACAAGGAGGAAGGTGAAAACAAGCACCAGCAGCACTGGTCTCTGTCCTGACCGTCTCACTAAATTCCAGGACCGTTCTATGATCACTTCCCAACTTATATCATGGAATAAGGGACTCTTTCTCCAGTGAAGAAATACTTGTTTGCCCAAAAGCCCCTTTTCTTTTTTGCTCTGTTTTGGCTTTTCCCAGTGTTTTCCAACCCTCTGAGGTGGGTTGTGGAGCTGTGTGGGGGCAGGACAGGCTATGGGAATCCCAAAAACCCCAAGATTTTTAACTCCTGCAGCCGTGTCAGGAATGCTCTGAGTAGATGTGGACAAAAGGGCTGGCACAGTATTTTTGGAACTAGTCAGGAAGGCCAGGGCTGCCTGGAGAAAGGATTTGAATTTCCACAGCTACGGGAAAGAGAGGGAGGGAGGGAAGGAGGAAGGGAGGGAAGGAGGGAGGAACAGAGGTCCTTTCACCAGGAACAGGACTTTCTGCGCATGGGGATTGAGAGGTGGCAAAGATAACGTCAGTCAGCCCTTAATCTGCATAAAAAAAAGATCCAGTTAAATGTGTAAGGTGTAATCTGGCAAGAAAACAGCGTTAAATATGGATCTGGGGAAGAGAGATCCTGGTATAAACAAATTCAACCGAAACCCAGCCCAGCTCGGAGCACCCTTTCCTGCCTGCCTGAGACAGAGAACAATGGTGACATTCCACAGACACCCCCTGGAAAGTGCAATTTATGGAAAGCACTGGAACACAGCCCCCCCTTTCCCAGGCAGAGTAAACCAATGAAGATGTAAAAACACATGCATTCCAAAAGGAACAAAAAAAATATAAAACCCTGCTTAGAAAAAAATTAATGCACTTTTAATGCAGTGACACCCCCACCCATCCCCTCCTCGCATTGCCCCCCGCAACACCCCCTGGAAAGTGCAATTTATGGAAAGCACTGGAACACAGCCCCCCCTTTCCCAGGCAGAGTAAACCAATGAAGATGTAAAAACACATGCATTCCAAAAGGAACAAAAAAAATATAAAACCCTGCTTAGAAAAAAATTAATGCACTTTTAATGCAGTGACACCCCCACCCATCCCCTCCTCGCATTGCCCCCCGCACCGCATTACCAGCATCACCCCACTAAGTACCACCATTATGAGAAGCGGAGAGAGAGAAGAATGTTACTCGACCTTTCGTCCCCTGCATGTTGCCTGTCAGAGTCGGGCATGTTTGGGTCAAGAACTGGGTTTGGGGGTTTGGAGAACAGGCTTTCAAAGGCCATTGTGCTGGCTGTGGTGTGG